ACCGGCCCCAAAACTGAGCCCTGGGGAAATGAGTAGTTTTTAGTCACAGTTGCTCTGTGACTAAACTGGAACGCATGAGCCCTGTGACTAGCCAGCTGATAGTGAGGTGCACTGTTGAAACACAAAGAGCTAGGGGTTCACAAGTTGACACCACGCTGCCACTCTGCCTAAAGTAAGTCTGCTATTAGATCTATAGCGAGCAGCTTCAAGCTGTTGCTGCTTTCCCCTTCCCTGTTTAGTTTGACTGCACGAACACCCTGAACGATCAGATCCTGGAGAATGTAACGGTGCAGATGGAGCCAACAGAGGGGTATGAGGTCATTGGCTGCGTACCTGCCAAAACCCTGGTGTACAACCAGCCGGGTACCTGCTACACACTGGTGGCACTGTCTGGAGAGGATCCAACAGCAGGTAAACAGTTTGCCCTCTGTGTTTTCCTGACATCCCCCAAATTAACTGTACTGGTTGCTCGCCCCCACACATTCTACCTTGCATCCTAGCCAGATATTTATAGCCTGTGTGTGGGTGCAGCCCTGAGTGATGCTGAGCATGACTTCTCTTTGCTGTTTGGGGGCTGTCAGGCCTCCCTTCTCCCCTCCTGGTTCCCTTGTGCTGTAACAGGCTATGAGAGCTGGCAGATGAGCATTCAGCTCTCTGCTGAGTTCTTTTGTGCACCCTGGCATGTCCTTTAGCCTATCTATTCTTTGTGTTAGTGGGGAGGCTGGTACCTGTAAAGAGCTGTGAGTGCCCAATGCTGAACTGGACATCCTTTCATTTGTCACTGTCCAGAACATGAACCAGGCTTTACCTGTGCTTTGGTCTCCCTGGTTTGTGTTCTGGGACTGCTCACCTGTGTGTGTTGCTGCGTTCACCCAGCAGTGCCCATCTTCTCAGGGATGAGTCATCGCTTCCTCTCCCAGCCGAGCGGTATTAATCAGCTGCCGTGTTGCAGTGCAAGGTGGTTTCATTTCAGAGGTGCATGAACCGATCTCTAGATAAGGATCTTGCCTCTTCACAAGGTGCTGGTGGGACATGTTTAGTTAGTGTTCCCAACACAACTTGAGGTTCATCAGTAATAGCACTTATTATGAGAATTATGGCTTTGTACAACCATCGTGAGCCTGTCTTTATCACTGTTTGCTAGCCTGAATATTACAAATAAATACCTTGTCAGAGAGCCCTCTCTAGGTTACTGGCTAAGCCTGTGCTGCTGACAGTGAGGGGGAGACCCCAGCTGCCCCAAGTTTCCCAGCCCTGTTCTGCTGCAGAGGATTGCAGATCTCATGGTAATGTGAGCTTTGCCTTTGCCTTCCCTGCTTCCAGTGGCCTGTACCTTCAGCTGCATGATGAAGTTCACTGTCAAGGACTGTGATCCGAACACAGGAGAGACGGATGATGAGGGTTACGAGGATGAGTATGTGGTAAGGAGCTGGGCGTGTACCTGATCACGGAAACTGCAGTCATTTTGAGGGTTTTCGTGATCTGTACTCAGATCCCTGCAAGCAACTATGTGACCACTGACACTGATGTGGGCAGCATCGCGTGAAGAGCGGGTTCTTGCTGTCTCTCTGGTGTTTGTCCCAGGATGCAGATGTGGGTTTGGAGAGTTTGCTTTGTCTCATTTGGAGTATCCTCCTGTTGCTCTCCAGACAGACACCCGACTGTGCAAGATACTTACGTTTTGGGAGGCCATGGTGTGTCCTCCAGGCTTGGCCTGCTGTGCCCTACGGGCTCCAGCAGTTACACGCTCAGGTTTGTGAAGACAGAGGGCCGATGGACATGTTTTGTTCTCCATGAGTTGCTCTCCATGATGGCACAGTTAATTGCTTAGTGACTTGCCTGATACAGGCAGATTGCTGTCCTTTTTCTTGCCCTGGGGAAGGTGGGCCTTCTCCTTCCCTAGAACCGAGATTGTAAAAGCACCGATGCTGCAGAAGCACCTCTCTCCCAGGCTCTGCCATTTCCAGGACGGCTGTTGTACCATGAAGGAAGGAAGCTGAATTTGTGCTTGGTCAGAAACTGGGACTGGCTCACAGAGGGTCGTGTTTACCCTCCAGAGAGGAAGAGATGTTGTGACACAACCTCAGCTTGCCCTGTTAGCTCTAGAAGCTGTTTTCTATGCGTTGCCTGTCACTGCTGTGAATCTGATTAGAGGTACTGCTGTGCAGTGAGTCACTGAGGACACAGCATCCTCCCAGAAGGAGCGGGGAGGCTTTTTCCCAAAGGAACATGCAAGGCTAACCCCTCTCTCTGCTTCCCACCTGTCACCAGGGCATTTGAGTGATATTTAAACAAACTCTTCCATGTGTTTCAACTCGAATCAGGAGGAGATTCTTTCCTGCAGCGATGGCTGAAAGGAATGCAGGCTGGTGTCTAGCCAGCTCTGGCACTGACTGCTGCTCTTCGATACATGCTCTGGAGGGACAAGCCCACTTCTGCCTTGCACAGATGTAGTCACAGCAGCATTTCAGCTAACCCGGCACACAGCGTTAGGTGATAGCAAGTGTCTGACAGTGTCTCATGTACTCTACCAGCCTACAAAATGATGGGCCAGAAAGGCAAAATACAAGCTTATGTGCATTCTAGGGAAGCAAATGCTAGATCTGTGTGAGCACCAGCAGCTGTTTCTTAGCTTTTGTCCTCTGTTTTGGACATTTGCCCAGTGCTTTGGTCTCTGTCAGGCCAAGGGCTGTGCTTAGGATGGGAACCTGCTTTGTAAACCCTGGAAATGGCATGACCCGTGGCTTTCCCAGGCCAGGCAGTTGCTCAACCAAGTGGTGTTTGCTTGGGCAAACTAGAAGGGGCAGAGCTTGCTCTGACATATTCATGAGTGGAAGTTGAAGCTGTCTTCTACACTGACCTGGTCTCAGGGAATCCAGTCTAAAGCTCACTCTGGAGAGAGCAGAATTAGGAACACCCATGTCTCATTTGAATCTCTTCTACCACCAGCTTGAAGACCTGGAGGTAACAGTGGCTGATCACATCCAGAGAGTTCTGAAGCCAAACTTTGGAGCAGCCTGGGATGAAGTGGGTGATGAGTACGAAAAGGAAGAGACCTTTACTTTGTCTGCTATTAAAACCCTTGAAGGTAAGGGGTTGCCTGAGTCCAGCAGAGCTCTTAATGTTTCTCTCTCTCCAACAGGCAAAGTCCAGAGGTGCAGTTGGCTCACTTTAGATCTCTCACAGAAAGGCTAATGGGGCAAAACCCTTCACAAGTAATTTCACCGTAGCTGTTAAATGTGGAGCTACGGTTACTGTGATAACAAGTTAGTTCAGGTTTCAAAAAAAATCAAATGAGTGTTCTGGGCCAGGAGATCAGGAGACCAGACTGGATTGTGGGAGGCAAGAGAACATCTTGCTTTGTTCTCATACTCTACCCTCCCAGGCAGACCATAGTTCAGCTGTGAGCTCCCACTTTCCTTCTGTGAAAGGAGGAGATGCTCTGACCTTAGGACTCAAGACCAATAAAAAAAGATGCATTAAGCAGAAGATGTGAGGTTGGTGGGCAGGCTTGTGGTGTAAGCCCTCTTCTCTTTTGTCATGTATTAAAGACTCCTTTTGTTGTTCCTGAGAACCCTGTAAAAACTCGGTCCTAGAAGGGTGTCCTTGTCCTATAGCCATCTCTGTGCTTCCTTGCACAGTGCCTTAGGCTTGAAGTACCTTCCCTGTAGACCTGCAAGGTGTCTTCTTCCCTCTGCATCTGTCCCCAGAGAAACAAGTCAGGGTTGCACAGTAAGCGTGCAGCCAGCTGCACTCTCCTACTTCCGTTGTCTGACTCATTCACCCTCCTGTTTCTGTTGCACCTTTGCTGCATCAGTTAACAGAACTGCAGTGTGGCGGTGGGGTTTTTGTGTGTTGCCTTTGCCTCCCTGGTGGCCTCTAAAATCACAATACTGGCACAATATGTGTCCCTCAGGACAAGGAACATGGATCCTAACATGCAGGGAGGGCTTGAGTCACCCTTAGATGCTCTTTGTGTGTCCTTGTCAAGACACCCATGACACGGAGCCTGTTTTATTTATTTTTTCTTAACAGAGGCAGTTACTAATATCGTGAAGTTCCTGGGGATGCAGCCCTGTGAGCGATCAGATAAAGTGCCAGATAACAAGAACTCTCACACACTGTACCTGGCAGGTGAGCTGTGGGGTGAGGTCTCTGCTCAAGTAGCAGCTCTTTGGGAGGTTGCATAGAGCTGCCTGTTGAAAATCAGGGTGGGAGTTTCTGATGGAGCCCACTGTGCTCCGGGTAGGATTTGAGGTGTAGAGCAGCTGGTGTTGGGATCAGGGAGGGTGCTGTGGTAGGGGAGTGCTGGGATCAGCCCCAGGCTCAGCTGGGTGGAATTGCTGTCTTCATGATCTGTGGTGTCCTGGTTTGGAGTGAGCCTGTGGGGGAAAGTACAGCACCCTTGCCCAGCAAAATGGATGTATACTGGAGCTCTTAGACGAGTGACTGGTAGTCACTGAAGGAGTGCCTGGATCTCTTCACGGCTGGAGGTTATTTTACACTTTGCTTTCATGAGTTTTACAGTAGCAAGAGTCATTATAATGAATGAGAAATGTGCTGCTCAAGGGTCTCCTCTGGCCCGGTGCTGGGGATTTGCCAGACTATGTATAGGAAACCTGCCCTGGGCAAGCAGTAGTGTTCATTTTTAGGCTTGCAGGAGAGGGTGGCCT